TTACATTCCTAATGGATATATTCACTTGATTATATTTACTATATATTTTCTGTTTTTGCTGCTCCCCTCCTCCCACAGATGTAAATAAGCCATTGTCTCAAAAGAAAAAATGCACAATTTTATATTTTAGTAAAACTGCCCTAGCAATAACTAGAGTTATGCAGAGATGGTTTCTGCTGGTTTGGCCTGAATTGGGTGTAGTGGCAGCAGTGAGATGCTCCGCCCACCTGCCCGGATGCTTCTGCGCATGCGCAGAAGCGTTGCGCATGTGCAGAAGCATCATGCACACACGGGTGCATGCATGAGCAAACTGGTAGTAAAAACAATGGAAACCCACTATTGGAGCTATGGATTGATATGAGCTATATTTGCTTTTTGCTTTTGCAAAAGTTGTAGCACCTCTTTGGTATTAATATTGCTGGCAATAACATGTATGGTCCTTATTCCACTTTCAGGTGAAACACAGTGATAAGGACTTGATAGTTGCTTTCCCTAATGGCAACTGCAGCTTAAATGGTTGGACAAGACAATGCCTATTTTGTTTGTATTTACATAATCATAGTTATACAGTCTTACTAAAACTTCTGAGAAGCAAATGTAATAAACTTTATTATCAGTTCTGATTGATTCATAAGAATAATGGTTTCTTTATAAGGATCAGGCAGTTCAAGAATTCACTGTTATAGTATTTCTGACAGACAGCCACCGAGCCTCTGTTTAAACACTTCATTGCTTCAAGAGCAATTCCTTTCTTACTAATATTTCCTTACTACCTATCTTATTAACACTTGTGAGTACAATCAGCTGCTGGATAAGTAGCATTATAGTAGTGATAAACGGCTGTCTTATTCCCCCCCCTCTTATTTTAATTTGCATTTTCAAAAGTAAAAAGTGGGAGGAACTGCATATGTACTTTTAAACAAATTTTAAATACATTTATTTCTAAATATGGAAGATTAGAGAGAGAGGCACTTAGAGCTTTTCTTTAATTAAAATATTTTAAAACCATTGAGAATAAAGAGTTTTTTCAGTATTAATTGGTAGGTATTAACTTTGTAATTTATTTGCTGTAAATAACCACCTAATTTGTGTTCTATTTTTATGTGAAACTATCTCATTATGTTTTCAAGAACATTGCCAGGCTACTATTATTTCTTAGTGAGAAAAATATATATTCCACTTGTTAAATATTTTCTGGTGTAAACTACATTTACTCCCATAAATCTGGGACAGGACAGCACTATAGTGATTAGTGTTTTTAAGCAAAACAGTTACTGTATCTTCCCAATGCTAAAATAGACCTTTCTTTTCGTAAATAAAATTTCCACTTATAGGGCAAATTATTGAAAACAATGACATAATGAAATGTACCATTGTACCATCGTACAATGTTTTCGGTACAACTATACCAAAGTCCTGCTTTAGGCATAAAACTAGCCCAGCTAGAAAGGCTTGCCATGCTCTGCTCAGCTCACCGGGTTGTTATGGGGGGGGGGGAATAAGAGCAGGAAGCAGTATTAACTATGTTCACTGCAGAGGTGGGTTCCTACCAGTTCGCACCTATTTGGTAGAACCGGTTCGTCAAATCTACCGAACCAGTTGGAAGAGGTTCCACCAGTGGACCCGGAAAGCAGGCCACACCTACAGAAAAGGTTCCAATTTTTTTTGAAATCCACCACTGGTGGGTGTGTAATGTCCCGCAGTTATCTATACATTAATAATGATCTAGTAATATTTCCTTATACATTTTAGGGACCTTTCCTTACATAATTGGTGTTTTCTTTCATACTTTTGGATTTCTAATTTCTGTTTCCATTAGTTGGCAGTTGCTAAAACCAATCCCACGTGAAAAAGTATTCAAAGCCTTCTTGATTTTAATTGTCAATTTATTTATTCCTGCACATTGTAATATTTATTCATTTACATATCTCTGTTTTTCCACTGTTGTGCAAACACAATTCCAGCAGCTGCTAACATGTGTTAAAATTAAATATATATTATACTCCCTTTCAAATAGCCAACAAAATATTTCTGGTTTTAATTCCATATCTTGCTTTACGATTGCTTCTAACCACTAACTTCTGAATAGCTACTTGGACCGACCTAAGTACTAATTCATAATTTCATATCCAGTCACATGGGCGGCAAGCCACTCCCACCCAGTCACATGGGTAGCAAGCCACTCCCACAAAGGAGGCCACACCCACAGAGTAGGTTCCAACAATTTTTGAAACCCACCACTGGTTCACTGCCTTGACTTATTTATAAAACAATAAAGTCAGGATAAAAATAAAATAAATAAACTGCATGCTTTGTGATCTGCTTGAAATACCTCATACTGAAGGGTACTTCCAGGCCATAGTAATTAAGTGTTTCTCAACATCAACAGCCTTAAGATATTTCTGCTCTTCATGTAGTCTGGGGAATTCTGGGAGATGAAGTCTACACATCTTAAAGTTGCTGAGGTTGAGAAACACTGATTTAGGCACACTCAATATTTGCAGTTTCTCTTTAGGTTACAAATGGCAGTTCTGGTTCATTAGCTTGAGAATCCATGTCCCATTCCATAGATCAAACAATTCTTCTTTGCTTAATGCCATATGGTGACAATGCATGTTTTTCATGGAGACTGCATGGTTATACTACCTTAATTATTTCTTCCTCTTACTGCAGTTTGAATTTTGAAATTGAATGACTGAAATTTAGGGAAAAAAGAAATAGAACCAGATATAATAGCAGTGCTATTAGGGTGAGACATTTTAAAAGTATCTGCATACATTCATTGATGCATTTTATTTGTAATTGAGTCTTCAAACAGATGTCATTAACTTGCACCATAACAAGCTATGGCAAATTATTTTTCCTTTACCATACGCTTTTAAAAATATTGTAATGAATTGTTTCTCATTCAGATATTATTTTGCAGTGCAAATTATACTTCTTTTAGCTGTAAGACGATACACTAAATGCAAATGCAGTCCTCCTCCCATTTCATTTCCTTCTTCCTCCATACCTCGTTTTTTCAAGATTAAATGCTAAATTCCAAAATTTCCCTCAAAATTGATTTTCCAGGTTTGAATCTCATGGCAGGAAAAGAGACTTTGGAGAAGCAACAAGGACCAGAGGAGATTGTCTTTTGCCATTTTTCTGTTGCAAGTTACCCCCAATCTAGCTGCAACATCTGATTGTCAGGGTTGATTTGGCTGATTTGGCTGACTTTTAGGCAGGTATCACCTTTTGCCCTTGCTACTCCATATTTGTCCCTCTCAAAGCTGTTCCTACCTGGCACATGCCAGATAAAAGTAGTGTACCAAATTTTTGGTCAATGGTATAGTTCAAAGTCCAAGAATCTGGGCCATCTTCTACACATTGTGTATGTTGTGACTACCCTGCAAATAATCGTGATGGTTCTTTTGTTTTAGATTTATTAAGTTGCATTCTTTCCAGTTTCAGCTTCTCTTATACCTTGTGTCATGATTTTTGATGTCCTCCCTTGTGTTTTTATATTCTTGCTTGTAATAAAATCAGCAGTTTATATAGGCTCGTTGACAAACTCCCCCAGCTTCCAGGTTTTTAATTAAGATACGGTAGGCTCCGTTAAAGAACTTCCCCTGGGAAGCAATGAAAAGGCATAATGAACACATTATATATAAGTAGCTTGTTCTGAATTAGCACTTTGTAGATGAGGGGTAGCTTTATCTAAAATATCATTCCATTTTATATACCATTCATTTCATTAACCTTTTATGTTTTTAACTTGTTCAATAATGGTTTTCTCCCTCATGTGATTGAAGAATTTTTGTTCAATTTTGTTGCTTACAACTGTGTACCTATGGAGAAATTTTATCAATAAGAATAAATAGAGCATTATCTTTTTTTTGACACATCCCTAAGGAAGGCTTATACCAGCAGTTAGCCTTTTCTCCCCACCCCCACCCCAAAGCTGTATCATCTTTAGAAATTACAGTGAAAATTCTGTAATGGCAGGAAATATTCTGTGACATTGCATCAAGTAAACTAAGGAAATCAGTTTTTATTAAAGAGTTTAAAGTTGTTTGGGGCCAAGACTACACAAAAATACTTGCTGTAGGATCTATGAATAAATGTGTCAATTTCGAACTGAATCTGGCAGCATCCATTTTTCTGTTCTTCAGTTGCCACACAGAGGGGGGAAGGGAGAAAAGAGGTTGGAATGCCTTACTAGACACAACAAAGAGCTTTCTCATGAGAACCAAGGTCATCTCTACTGGCAACCAATAAGGTTGGAGAAGGAGTGCCTGAAGAGTCCGCCAATTAATCCAATTGGCCAATATGACCTGTGACACTTGGGGATGGGGTTATTTCCTAGTTTAATTATACTGTAACCATGGGAAAAAATAGATTTGGTTTTTCTTTGAAGCTGTGCCGATATGATGTACTCATTAAGGAAGACTTTTGAGAAGGAGCCATGTTTCAGATTTCTGATTGCTTGGGTTCATTAGTTGGAGCCTCGACACTTAGTAGGAAGAGGGCCCAAGCAAAAGAATACCTGAAAAATAAGTAGATATGATTCAGATTTCAGAAAATCTCAAAAAGATTGTTCCCCACAAAAAGAATAAGAGATAAAAATTATCCATTCTGTTCAGTGTTAATAAATATTACATAATTCCTTTTGGGGTAAAAATAGTTTTGTATGCACAGCTGTCTATGATGTCGCCAAGCATTAGATACTGTATTGTGTGTGTCTCTGCTTTCTATAGCTATTTAGGAAACAAATAAAACATTAACAGAAACCTATTTCAGTTTTGGGGTTTCCAAAATTATTAGCTGACTGTTGTTGGAAATGAATGCCTTAATAATATGGGGTTTTTGGCTCTATTTGACAAAGGCTAACTTTTGTGAATTTATGTGATTTGATGTGAGCAATTTGAAATTTTTTTTATTGTCTATGCTACTTAAAAAACAACAACAGTCAATAAGCCTGTATATTTCTTTCAGCTCTATTTTTTTTATTTTGGTAGATTACAGACATAATGGAAGAGATCTTCAAAGTTCAACATTATCAGTGCCAGAACAAGTGATGTCATCCAATCATTGCTCTCGATCAGGCTCTCCTCAGCGTGGTGACAGTATAGGAAGAACTAGATCATGGTCTCCCAGTGTTCCTCCATTACAAAGGTAATTTGTAGTTGAAACTTGTAGGGAAAGGCTGGGGTTCAATATAAAATACACCGATAAAACATGACTTTATAAAACTTTTTTAAAAATGAAAGAGAGAAAATCTTAAACTAATTATTTACTTAAAACAAATACTTTGTTTATAATGATCTGTTTTATTAGCTTATTCATATTTGTCTATGTTTAGTTTATTTGTTTAGTCATTTATTCAATTTCTATAGTCATCCAGTTCAACCAAGTGACTCTGGGCCACTTATTATTCTAAAATTATAAAACAACTGTAAGGCAAAAAACATTAAAACAGTACAAGTGTTTATAAATGATGTATAATAATATATAACATTTGTTAATTATTCATTGATGAATTTATATAATATAAAGAAATTAGATAATGAATATTTACATACACAAAGATTATGTTATAACATCGAATGATTAAAATACTTTTTATATTAGTATCATTTATCACCATTCAGATAAATTTTATGTCCAGTATCTGATAAATCTCCCATTTGAGTGTAGTATGATATTCTACTTTTTAAAATTCTGTTTAACACGGAAAGCTGTTAGTATGCAAGAAAATTTTCTGCACCCAGACAAGAAACACTGAGGTGAGAAAAGTATACAATGGTCTTGTTAGAACTGTGGTACTGATAGAAAATTACCATTATTTTAAATAATCATTTTTTATTCTGCTTACCATTTTTTCTTGGGAGATTTTAACCGTTAAATAAATTAATAAAAATTAATTTATTTTTAATATGAGAATTTCATGCTGGAACATCAGTGATTCCATATTCTAGTGGCAGTTTCTACATTGTACTCTTGTTCTGAGATATATTCTGCCTGTTTAAAATTGCAGATATTGGTTATAGTAAAATATTTCCAGTAAATAAATACGAAAGCCAGAAAATGTTTTTATTGAGGTCCTCATATATTTTAATCTATATATATTATAGATAATATTTTTCTCTTGATAACGAAATAGTCAGACTCACATTAATAATTAGTCAGTGGTGTGGTAATATTTTAATGAGACTTGTTAAGTTTATACACATGTATGCACAACATGAAATGTATAAAATTTAGTAAGAGTACACAACAGCCATGTTAACATCTGAAAATATTATCTCAAGAAAATGATTAGACTACTTATTCATGTACCATTTATATTCATTATTTTATTCAAGGTTGATCAATAACAGCAAGGTTAAAATCCACACAAAAGTGCTATATAATTGGAAACTTGTGTCTGTATAATTGAAATATGTGTCATCAGAGAAGAAGCCCTGTCTCTTTCAGTTTTTGGCAGGTAGATGAAAACCCCAAAATTTAGTATTTTCATATCTTCCAAACAACAGTAGAAAGGGCTTTTCAAACTAGGTAGTATGTGGAATTAACTTACAAAAAATATTCAGTGAAGCTATAATTGATATAGATATCAATTCTGATGTAATTTTTTTTCAACATAGTTGTGTCCTGGATACATATATGGAACAAAGCAAGAAATATCAAACTACTGAAGAAAACAAATGCATGGGGATAGGAAAAATAAGTGGAGAATATCAGAATTATACTCCTGCCTAGTCTCTAACTGGGAATAATAATAACAAACATTAGTCAGCCTTACACATTAGGAATTGCCTGAGAAGACATGATGATGCAGCCATCTTGCTGAAGTTCAGTTGTAAGACTGGTTAGAAATTGTTTATATGTTTGTAAAGAGGAAAGACAGATTTTGTGTGTGTGTGTGTGTGTGTGCGCGCGTGCGCTGCTGTTGTCAAAGACACCACTCTGTTCAGAAAGGTCTGGCCAAGGCTGTTTGACACCCCTAAACTTGAATAATTTTATTAAAGGTCCTATAACTTTTGTTCCTCTACCCTAATGTTTTGTTACAGGGTATTTATCTTTCCTCCAATGGCCCATTAAGGGACAATTAACACATATTTTAAGTTTTCCAATTGACAAAAAAGTTAAAAATATAAATAGTATTAGTCAGAAAAGGTCCTACCATTTTCTTGATTTTTTAATATCATAAAATTAATATACGCCTCCTATAACATCTGTGAAAAAATATTCCCGCCTATAGTAAGTGGAAGTTTCAATTGTTTATGAAAATTGCGTACTTCTTATAAAAGTTTAAAAGTTCCTTTTAAATGTCAATTGCCAAATTTTCTAAAGGAGTGTTCATCATGCCAAAAGTTAAACATTGTTTTTAAAAAGACATGGAGGAAAATACTTAAATTATTTTTTATAATATTTAATATATCAGCATATATACCGTAGCTGCGGTTCGCAGTGGTTAAGAGTGTAGTACTGCAGGCTGCTTCTGCTGACTGTCTGCAATTTGGCATTTCAAATCACACCAGGCTCAAAGTTGACACAGCCTGTCATCCTTCCATGGTCAGTAAAATAAAGACCCAGATTGTTGGAGAAAATAATGTGAATTACCAATAAAATTCATCAAGATACCTATTTACCATAATTAGAATTTGTTTCAATCAGTACTGGTTATTTTGCATGAATAATTTTAAATTACATACTTACTCTGTAGTGGGTAGATTGTTTGGAATTTCATTTTATTTCCAAATAAGATTGGTCAGTTAATGGCCATTCGAATTGTATATAACAGCACAACAATTTTAGGATATGGCAAAAGCAAATCTAAATATTCAGGAAACAACTTTCCCATCTATTGGAGGCATTAGAATCTGGCTTAATTTTTCCAAATTTCTCTCATCAATTAAGAAGCTACCGACTTCCTGTTTTACAATTATCTGATTGTAAAGATTTATAGGATGCTAAAGCATTTTCCAAAATGCTGCATCAAATGCCAGAATTTAAATAACCAGCATATGTATTAATGACCAGAAAAAACTGTTATGGAGAAAAATATGACAGTCTGCATTTATTTACTAAAGATCATTTTAGAGATTAGCAAAGGGATTTGCTCATTTCCCCCACTATAACATTGACGGTTTTGTTTCTTCAAGGAATGTGGAACATGGGTCTCGAGGGACCCGATCTACTCCTGCACATTACAATACCATGAATCGAATGGATAGACATCGAATAATGGATGACCACAACTGTCCAGACAGAGAGAGGTAGATATTATGAAGTAACAGAATAAACAATGGAAACAGAGTTTACAGGCAGAGCCATTTCAGCTCTCTGGTTTACAAAATTAGGGTAGAAAAAAATGGATTGTTCCTGTTTTTGAAATTATTATTTTGTTACAGGCATTGTGTTGTACATTATGTATTTATACCATGCATTTTTCCTGTCAGAAAAATAGAAGGCAGCAAATACCTTTTAACGTAAAGAAGTTAGAGTTTTATTCTATGAGGCTTTTATTTTATTTTGACTATTAATTTGATTTTGAATAATAATTCATTTAAGGTAAATAATAATTAGTCTGTTAAGGCCTTTAGAAATAGGAATATACAATAATTTACCAATATAATAATTTAATATTTATATATCAAATAATTGGAAAGTTTCCTGGTGCATTCTATACTTGATTTTATCATCAATTGCCTATACATAAATATATTTTAAACAATATATACTTATCTTTTAGGTAGCATTTATATCTGGAGAGAAAACACATGTAGTACAGCTGTTGATCTCTGAAGTATGTTCATTACATAGATTGGGCTTAGTTCAAAAGGGTCTTTTGAGAATCTCTATTTAATATAATATTTCTTCTCTTATAAATACATATAAATGTATTTATTTTAATTATTTTTCCATGGTTTTGGTCTGTATATTTGAACTAGAAATGGGACCAGAATCAATCTTGCTAATTTTTCCTTCCATGCCTCTGCCAAAATGTGCATTCCTTGCAGCTGAAAAGCATTGCTTGCTTTTGTGGTTTGGATGGGGGAGGGAAGGAAATCATATCACTTTAATCAGAATCAGGTGAATTTCCTGTTTGTGCTCCTTCATCACTACGGGTCCAGGATTCTTGAGATATCAATGCTCTGCCAGTACCTCAGCCAAGTCCTGTGTTCTTAAGTAAGGCACAGTATCTAGAATGTTGGTTTAAGATTTACTGCTGCTTCTTTTGTGCATGACTTGCCAACTCACTGGATAAGTTGATCCAGATCTTTGAATTAACATGTTAAGGTGCCAGTAGATTCCAACATTTTAGTAATGCATGAAAACATCTTTCTAGGCCTTTCTAGGATGCTAATGATTTTTCTGCTTTTGTTTTAATGCTGGTAATCAAGAGTGGATTAAAAAAAAAAAGAACCTGGCTGGATGAAACCAATGTCTTCACGTGTTCTAGTATGCTATTTTATATAGTGGCCTACCAGAGGCATTCTGGAAACTCATAACCATAGACAGAAAAGCAATGGCTTTGTTATACTGTTGGTCAATAGCATCTTATAGATAGTGGTTTGTGAATGGTAGTAATTGCGTAAGCTAGCAGCCATAGGTAGGTAACCCAGGCTTTTGTTAATTTGTCTTTCTTTATAAAACTTACAAAATATGGCTCTCAGAAGGCATGCATTGCAAAAGACAGTGAATTTCATGATTTACAAGTTTTGTATAAAGTATTTTTTGGTTGGTCAGTCCTGAATGGTTACTGGATTAGTTTCCATGCATGAGTATGTGTTCTAATTAGGCACTCACTCTGGTTCATGTTTGGTCTACACCATACATTATATTCTATATCTCTGTTGTCATGCCTCTCTTTTCATGCTTCTCCTTATCAAATCTTCAGCTTCACAATATTTTCAAATGTGGCACTATTTTTCAAATGAAATGTCCTAATGATTCCATTCTAAAAATTTGATCTTTTTGTAACTATCACACATTGCTTAACATTTTCATTGAAATAGCCATAATAAGTCCATAAGATCCATTTTTTTAAAAACCAGGCATTGCCAGCTCAGATTTTTATATTTCAATGTCTTCACTTTGTACTTTATTACTTTATTTGTGATTTTAATAGCACTTTGGAGCTATTATTTTACTTTCTTGAACAATTGTTAAAATTACTAATTGTCATTAGCAATTATGGGCACTTAGCTGCTTATCCCTGACTACAGACTGTTATTTAAGAAGTAGCACAAATCCTAACTCCAGTCCTGTCCCAGTCCTGTACTTTGCACATCTTTCCAATATAAAAAATGTTACTTATTCCTTCTCTTAGTTTCCCATTCTTAAACTAAATGCTAATCTCTGAGACCAGGTTCATTCTCTCCAGAGGTATGGAGGTATGAAAAGCAATTTTTCCCAAGCATGAATTCATAGCTTTCTTTAGCAAGATTTAGTAAGCTAAACAAGCACTAATACAAGAATTCTACATTTAAAACCAATGTAGCTAATTAGGAATAGAGATTTTGAGTGTTTTTGCCCCTGTCATATGATATACTGGAAGGAAGGGAAGTGCTTTTTCCTGAGCTGTGGTGGGGCAGTGGTTAGAATGCAGTTTTGCTAATTCTGCTGACAGCCAGCAGTTCAATTGTCACCAGGCTCAAGGTTGAATCAGCCTTCCATCCTTCTGAGGTGGGTAAAATGAGGACCCAGATTGTTGGGGGCAATATGCTGACTCGGTAAAACCACTTAGAGAGGGCTGTAAAGCAATGTGAGGCGGTGTATAAGTCTAAGTGCTATGGTAGTGGACCTGCCTCGAGTTGTCTATATAATGGTGAACTGAATTTTTGTCAGTGTGAGAAGCAATTCTTATATGGAAAAATATTATTTCATTGGAATATGATTTATTATATCTGGGACTTTGACTTAGTATTTTAGACGAATATGATAAGACTGTTTAATGATAAATCCCCTTTGTTTTAGGCTATGTTAGAAAACAAGGATTTTTTTGAATTTCAAAACGGGAAAGATACTTTTCAGAACTGATATGTGCTATTGTTCTAGAGATTTTTAAAATCTATAGTGCAAAAACTTCAAATACTCCTTTGAAGTCATCGCTTTCACATTGGATGCTGTTAAGTAGGAATAACTTTAATTGATAAATTCAGGCATATACAAGCTTTCTTTCAATTGTTTTTGAAAGAATATACACAATACTGAGTTGCAGTCTCTATCTTAGGAAGGTTTTGACAGAATTCTGTCAAAATTGTGTCAGAATTATTTTCTATGAAACTGTGCAAATATTGAAGTAACTGTTCTTAGTCCAGTAAATTATAATAAGATGTTTATTTGTTGCATGTTATTCTTTGCTATTTTTGCTCCTAGATCTAGTCTGTGACAATGATGCAATAACTGCTGAACCAACATGGTTGCACTAAATGACATGTTCCAAGGATTTTTCCCCAGTTCCTTTCCACTTGTCCCCACAAATATATACCCGTTTTCTTCTTTTCAATATGACACTAGATTAAAAAAAAATAGATCTGGAATCTTATTGGGGCTAGTTTAAAATTAATAAAATTAAAAATAAAGACTATCAAGTACATACACTCACTTATTTCATGTTCATATTGAGTTGAGATCTCCCAGGGTCATAATCAATTTCAGCAAGATTAAACATTTTTAAAAACCTGATTAAACTAGCACAGGGAAAGTGATAAAACTGTCTAAAATCACTTAGGGTGTTTTTTCTTATTTTGTTCATGCAAATAGTTGCGCTGTGACAAAAGTTAGAAAATCTTTGTAATATAGAAACAAATTTTAATTATTTCTTGCCCATAGAAATATTTGGAAGAGAGGTTTATATAAATTCATTTATGATTTAGGAGGTTGTGGTACTACCAGCTTAAAAATAATGCTTGTGTGCACAAATTGTGTATTGAAAAATGTAGTAAATCTGTAGTGGTTGGTTTAGTGGTTTATTAGCATTTGTAGGCCGCCCTTTTCCCTGAGGGGACTCAGGGCGGCTCACAGGAAACCAGGGAGGGGGGAATACAACATTAAGACAACAACATATAATAAAATAGTAAACAACATACATTCATCATTCGGGCGGGGTAGCGATCCTTATCCCCAGGCCTGCCGGGCGAGCCAGTTCTTCAAGGCTATGCGGAAGGCCTGGACGGTGGAGAGGGTACGAATCTCCACGGGGAGCTCGTTCCAAAGGGAACGAGCTGTTCCTGTGTAAGAAGTGTATTCTGATTGGGTGTCAGACTCCCACGGGGCCATGCAGGGGCTACTCTCTAGGCTGTGTTTTGAATCCAGGTT